GGCACAGACAACGCCGGGTACGAGAGAGAGGAACAGAATGAACAGAATGAACAGAAACGCCCCGTACCCGATTTCTCTGCGGTCACCTTGTCGTCGGAAAAGGTAGGAAACAAACTGAACAACGAGACTACTGGCTTCTTTGTAGGTGTATTTTGGGGGAAATGAAACAGTGGGTGAGTCGTATTTGCGTGGTGTTCGTGGTGTTGTTGTTGTTGTGGGAGGAGGGTGGGGGAGGGGGAGGGGGGAGAGAGAGGGTGGGTGGGTGGTGGGATATTTTTTGGTTTGTTTTGTTTTTGTTTTTGCTGTTTGTGAGCGGGTGTTCTTCTGCCTCCTCACGTGTACTTACAAAACACCCCTTGTCTTTATAATGTCAATCCTTTTCTGTCACATCCATAAAAGGAATCATATCAGAGTGAGAGCAACTTCAACAACCACGCCAAAACCCACCTCACACCCCCCAATAACCCTACTACACCAAACCCAGTACAACCCCCTCAAGAACTCACTCTAACCCCATCAACCCCTCCCCAAGAAACCTACACCAACCCCCTCCCCCCCGGAACCCAGACAACCCACCCTCCCTTCCCCTAAGAACCCACACTAACCCCACCTCCACCCCTTCCCCAAGAACCCACACCAACCCCAAGCCTCCCCAAGAACCCACACTAACCACACACCCACACTAACCCCCCCCCCCCAAAGAACCCACAACAATCCCCACCACACCCCACCCCACCCCAAGAACTCACACTAACCCCCCCTCCGTCCCCAAGAACCCACACCAACCACCCCTTCCCTCCCACCCCAAGAACCCACACCAACCCCCCCCCCCCCTACCAACCCCACATCCCCCCCCCACCCCACCCAAAGAACCCACTCTAACCCCCTCCCTTCCCCTCCCACCCCCAGACGGACACCCGGCCCGCGCGCGAGCAGTGGTCCAACGGCCACGAGTTCCTCCTCTCCTGCATCTCCATGGCGGTCGGCGTCGGCAACGTGTGGCGCTTCCCCTTCGTGGCTCTGGACAACGGCGGCGGCGCGTTCCTCATCCCGTATATCTTCGTGCTGGTGTTCATCGGGAAGCCGCTCTACTACATGGAGTTCTGCCTCGGCCAGTTCGCCTCCTACGGCTCGGTGAAGGTGTGGGAGATCTCGCCGGCGTTTCGAGGTTTGATATGGTTTGAAGGGAGAGCGGTTTCAAAGAAGTAAAAAGAAAAAATCAGATCTTAGCTTTTTTGGGGGGGGTGCATAGTTTGAAGGGAGAGGGGTTCAAAAAAGAAAAAAGAAAAAGATGAAAACAAATCTTAGCTTGTTTATTGCTTTTTTGTTTTTGTTTTTTTGGTTAGTTTGACATGGTCAAATCTTAAAGCGTTTTAAGCAGGGAACGGTACAGCAGCGCTTGGCAAGAATTCTTGCCAAGCGCTCCCCTGCTTAAAACGCTTTTAGTTTTTTTGTTTTTTGTTTCTGTTTTTCGTCATTTCATATCTTAGAGTTGTTGTTTTTTTGGGGGGAGTAATCATTTCGAGTTTTTGAGATACGTATTTTTATGTGTTTGTTTGTGTGCGAGGGCCGGATTAAGGTTAACTTTGACTCTTTCAATGGTACCTCTTTCGGTCTTATAACGGTACCTTGTTGATATCAAACAATGAAAAATACTTCTCCCTGCACCTTCCTGTTAATATGACATTCTATAAAGATCTTTGGAGAGGGATAGAGAGGGAGAAAGAGAGAGAGAGAGAGAGAGAGAGAAAAAAAAAAGAAAGAAAAAAAGAGAGAGTGTGAGATAGAGACAGAGAGAGTGAGAGAGAGACAAAGACAGAGTGAGAGAGAGAAAGAGAGGCAGACAGACAGAGGAGGGAAGGGAGGGAGGGGGGAGGCATATAGACAACAATAAGGAAAAGGAGATTGATATTCGTTTCGTCACCTTGTGAGGCAGACTGTTAAAATTTTGTGTTATGTATGTGTGGGTGGTGGGTTGGTGGGTGGTGTGTGCGTGTGCGTGTGTATGGGTGTGTGTGTGTGTGTTTATATAAAATGCATGTATGCATGAATGTGTGTGTGTATGTGTATATACATATATTATATATTAATATATATATATATATTATATATATTATATAGATAGATTATAGATAGATAGAATAATATAAATATAGATATAGATATATATATATAGATATATATAGATATAGATATATTATATATATATATTATATATAATATATAATATATATATATATACATATAATATATATTATATATATATATATATATATATATATATATATATAATATATATATATATAATAGATAGATAGATAGATAGATAGCATATATTATATATATTATATATTATATATATAATATATATTACATATATATATATATATAGATATATATATATAGTGTATATCTCCTTAATTTCCAGGAGGCAGAAGTGACACATAAAGTCACCGAAAGAGGGCTAGCGAGCCTGACCATGAATGCGCTCACCACATCATTTCCATAACTCAACATCACTTTATTCTCCCACGCGACAGGCATTGGCTACGGACAGGCCATATCAACCTGGGCCGTGTCTACCTTCTACGTGACTCTGATGGCCCTCTGCGTCTTCTACTTCTTCGCCTCCTTCAAGTCGGTCCTGCCCTGGTCCCTCTGCGGCGTCTGGGCGGCCGAGGAGTGCGTGGATTCTGCGAGGAACGTCACCTTCGGGAGGAACACGTCCTACGTCACGGCGGCGGAGGAGTACTTCGTGTAAGGCCCTGGATTTGGTGGCTTGAGATCTCTCTTTATTACTATTTATATACTGTGTATCATATTAGATATACGATGTGTATGTATGATTGTATATAGGCATATATGTATATCAATCTATTTATATTTGTATTCATATTCATATAAATCTTCTCCGATACACAATTTCAGTAACATGAACATCTGACAATACTTTAGAATGTATTTGTTATTATTTTATCTATTTTTTGCAAGTTCCATGCTCCATAAAACCCTGTATGATGTGACCACACGCCAGCCCCTAATTCTTCCCTCCCTGCATCTTCCTCCAGCAAGGAGGTGCTGCAGACCGATCCCCTGGGGCTCCAGAGCGGCCTGGGAGCTCCCGAGTGGCGCCTCTCCCTGTGCCTGCTCTTCTCGTGGCTCCTGCTCTTCGTGGTGCAGTGCAAGGGCGTGAAGAGCTCTGGCAAGGCCGCCTACTTCACCGCCCTGTTCCCTTACGTGGTCCTCTTCATCATGCTGGGGCGGGGCGTGACCTTACCCGGCGCTTCGAAGGGGATCCTGTTCTTCATCACGCCCCGCTGGGAAAAGCTCTTGGAGCCAGGGGTGAGGGCGGCGTGGCGTGGATGCGTTTCATGTGGTTGGATGATTTTTGTTGATTTGTTATTGGTTGTTGTTGGTTTTTCAGTGAGGACAATATTGGGGTGTGCGGGATGGAGCGCCGATGTGGAGTAGATGTGGGTTGAGTCATGACCGTTTGTTTCGTCCAGGTGTGGTACGCGGCGGTCGACCAGGCCTTCTTCAGCCTCTCCGTGGGCTTCGGCGTGATCATCATGCTGGCCTCCTACAACGACTTCCGCCACAACGTCTACCGCGACGCCACCATCATCTCCTTCGCCGACACCTTCACGTCGCTCCTCGCTGGCTTCACCATCTTCGCCATCCTGGGCCACCTCGCGGAGCTCCTGGGGGTGGAGGTCCAGGACGTGGTCAAGGGCGGGGGGACGTCCCTGGCCTTCGTGAGCTACCCGGACGTCCTGGCGCGGTTCCAGTACGTCCCCCAGCTGTTCTCGGTGCTGTTCTTCCTCATGCTGTTCACCCTGGGGGTAGGAAGCGCCGCCGCATACAACGGTTGCGTCATCACCGTCATCTGCGACCAGTTCCCGCACGTGAAGCGGTGGCTGGTGACGTTGGGCGTGTGCGTGGTCGGATTCTTCGTCGGGCTCCTGTACGTGACGCCTCAGGGCCAGCACATCCTCACTCTCGTCAACCACTACGGAGGCGTAAGCACTTCCTCTTTCATGCCTTTCCAGAAAATATTTTTCTTTATTTATTTCTTTTTCTTTCTTTCTTTCTTTTCTTCTTTTTTTTTTTTTCTTTTCTTTCCTTCTTTATTTATTTATTTATTTATTTATTTCATTTTCTTTCCTTCTTTCTTTCCTGCTCTCTTTTCCTTCTTTCCTTCTTTCTTTCTTTCTTTCTTTCCTTCCCTTTTTGAGATTTTGAGAACAAGGACTCAACAGAAACGACAACGAAAAAACACCTTCTCTCAGACCCTCCTCTCCCCCCTCTCCTGCAGGGCGTGTCCATCATCTTCCTCATGATCCTGGAGCTCGTGGCGGTCATGTGGGTCTACGGCTTCTCCAACTTCATCAGGGACATCGAGTTCATGTTGAAGAGGAAGACGGGACTCTACTGGAAAATCTGCTGGATCTTCTTCAACCCCATTTTCCTCGGCGTGGTCTTCGTCTACAGTCAGATCGTGGCCAAACCTCTTACGTACGGGGCCTACGTCTTCAGTTCCTTCGAGACGGGTGAGCTCGTCTTCCGTCGTTCGCCTTTCTGGTCGGGGAAGAGATCGGGTTCCTGGGTTAAATGGATGAGGAGGCTTACTTATTTCATGTAGCGTCTTGTTGATTTGCTGTTAATTCTATTTTCTACAGCACAGAGATAATAGTTTTTTTGTTTTTCTAGTGTTTCTCTCGGGGCACAAAGTCAAGAAATAGACAATCAAAAAAAAATTAAGAAAGACAAAACGAAAACCCCGAAATATACAAAACAAAACAAATATCAATGGCATGGGCCAAGCACTAGCGGCTTTTGATATGCCTCATGGTGCCAATCTTTAAATGAATATTTTTTCTCTCCTAGGAATGGGCCTGGCACTAGCGGCCTTTGCGTGCCTCATGGTGCCAATCTTCTTCGTCGTGGAACTGCTAAAGGCACGGCGCGGTGCCTCCTCCTGGTGGGACGCCGTCAAACAG